ATGACCCAGTTTCAACCACACGGCCATTTTGCAACACAGTTCGTGACCCTCGGCGTCACCCGACTGACTATATGAGCGTTCTCTTCAACTGTTAAGCTAGGATTTATTACCGTTATTATCATTATATTGTCACGTGATTTGTTTTACCTTATGTGTAATGTCTTAAGTATCTTTATTGTAATTTGTATATACCAATTCGTATATACCGAGGAAACGACCCCGATTGAAGGTCATGTATTTTATGACGTCACCAATTCGTGTGTAGGTACTGCTTCTAGATCTGTGCCCTAAACTGTAGCATTGTGACTTGACATAAAAATCACATGAAATGATAAACACGAATGGGTTACCAATAAAACTTCAAATATTCCAACAGAGCTAGAAAACAACACATTTAACATTCAAACATGTTTCAACAATTCCTTTTATGCTGACTCGTCTACAAACTTATTGATTGGACGGAAAACCATGTTCCTAATATGAAAAGATTGATAGTTTGTTGGTATACCTACCCACAGACGTATCACAACATGTTTTATGAGGTGCAGCAAATGGCACAACTGTGCGAATTCTCATGACCTCATGGATTACAGCATCACAGTATGGTAATTTGCCCTTGTCAGATAACAATGGCAGACGATCTAGTCCGATGACGTCATCAATCTCATTCTGCACTTTAGTTTGCACATCCGGGTAGCATGCAAGAAACGCAATGCACCAATCAAAGGTGTTTGTGGTTGTGTCTAATCCAGCTACAGATGAATATAGATTTTACATGTTTATATCGAGTATGCCACTTTTTAAGGAAATGTATATTGTTCGCAATATTTAAAAACAATATTAATTATTATTTCAAAGTAGATAAACTGACTAACCTCCAAAAATATCACTGACTGTTTGACGAAGATTGATGTCAGTTAATTTATCTGCCTGATCTTCACCTGCTATCTTGGCATCGTTTTGGATTTTTAGTAGGTTATCAATAAGATCATGAACTTCTGGATTATCTGCAATAAAAAGCGATATTTAGAAGACTAACAAATACATTACATTATATGGTCAAACAAGCGAGTGAGACACATATATTAAACATCCAAGATTGGAAGTCAAATGTTTCCAAGTATAGAGTGGGTGCAGTCACCTTGCTCCGCATATATTGTGTTCGTCATATAGCAATGAGTCAAGGAGAAACAGTCCCTGTTGCTGTAAAGTGAGGTCGATATTGACAATGTAATAAACATCCCAAATATATTATGATATGTCTAGGCATAGAGAATGAGTTAGGCAATTCATATGCAAAAGAAAAAGCATTTTCAATGTTTGAGAAGCTTAAAATTATATATAGTGTAGGTTTTATACCTTTGTTAAATTTGTTTTTGTGGGCAGTAACCTTTCCCTGAATTAAACCAAGCCAATTTGTCATAAAACGCTTGGCTTCACGAATACCCTTAGTTGGTATGTATTGGAATATCGAGATATAATCAGCAAGCAGTCCATTGCCAAATGATTCGTTTGTATCGTCAATCATCTTCAGAATTTCTTTCAATTCGGGGTCATTCACTTCATATCTGTGAAAAAGTGATATTCAGTAAGTTCAAGTGTGTATATTTTGTGAAAATACACGATTTACATAGTTAAACTCATCATATATTTATATTTGATTACTCAACCTGTACAATTTATCATGTCAGAATTACTTTTGCTTACTTTTGACCAAAACACATTGTAGCAATAATATTCGCTACCGTAAAATACAGTAATGGTTTTGGATAGAATGATTCCCCGTTCTTGTCGGCTACAGCTTTCTGCAATCTCGGAAAAGCTTCATGTCTCACGAGATCTTCTAGTTTTTCTCCACTTGCATAGTTTCTGTGAAATGTAAATTATTTAAGATGATAGTTAGATAATTAGATTATTTGAATGACAGCGTTGAGCACAAAACCTTGATTCATAGGATAAATAGCCTCAAACACAAGAATGAAATCATATAATAATTAATTTATTATTTGTATATTCCCATCTTCAGAACATGTATAGTTATCCGAAGAGGCGTGTATAATTGCATTAGGGCTTGAGTGTTAAGGTTTATGTTAGGGGTGAGTAGGAACTCTTTCCGGAAATTTCTCAAAATATATATCTAAAAATGCTTGTGGGTGTTTGTGGTAGACCGATTCTTCTGAATCTTTCCTTCAGCCTCAACATTTTGACTTTAGGAGAAATATATATCCAAGAAGAGCCCGGATACTAATACTTGAAATAACAGTTAGTCATCCATGGATTTCGTAACGCAAAGTGTTATTAATTTGTCAAATGAGAATATTTATGTAACAGTTTGTAAAATAGTTGTTTTAAAGTGAGCATCAAAAGAGCTCGAGCGTCCTGGATATTGAGACCTGCATGGAAAGTTGACAAGGATAAGGTGAAACTAAGGATATATATATAATTTGAAGAGCCTCTTGAATTATCGTTTGAATGAGAAGTTGAAAATAGTGAGTTGTATGAACTATTATTGCACAAGGACCAGACGAGGGATAATTATCGGACACGGGACGAAGTCCTACCTAATAGCCTGGTGTCCAACTTTGCGAAGGAATTTCCACTTGGGGGTGAAGTCACCAAAAACAATATCTTCTCCGTTTTCGCTAAGCAAGTCAGCTTTTGAAAAAAGGAAACATGAAGAGTCAAATCATGAATGACTAGTAGGCAAATATATTTCTGTTTGCTTACTATTTTTTTCCATTTCTCTCTATGTAAAAATGTTGTTATAAACATATTTGGTTTCAGTAGTTAGTTTAATTTGAAATGTTTAGATAAATAAATGAAGACTAGGGACATTTAGTCAGTACTTCACTTTACACACCTCCAGCAAACGTAAATTCTTGGGTTTGAGTAATACATTGCCATCTGCATACAAGAAATTATCTGCAGAGTTTCTAAACATTCATGAGCAAAGACAACCAAATTAGAAAGATATAGTCAATATCTAAATCTAAGGACGCAGGAAATAGGAAAAAACAGTCATTGAAATTTAACAAACAACATTTCCATATTCAATTGGCCATTCAACTGTTTTCTGTGCCGGGTATACAATATTAGCTTTCACTTACTTGAGTACTGACTAGTTCGTCCAGCAAAATCATTTTGCTTCTTAACAAGTGCTTCATTGATGACTTCAATACTATTTAGCACAACACAGTTTAATGTGCCAATCTTTATTGTGATGACATCTCCATATTTTTTAGCATATTGCGTCCACCTGATATGTGGCTCATTTGCTAAATCTAGGAATTTAAGAAAATCGTATAAAGAGATTGGTAAACACTGTGTAATGAGCCAATTATTCCATCCAAACTATGGGCACAACCTTTATTGAACACAATTACACTGCTTGAACAATGTGTACCACTTACCCAATACATGCCCAATATATGGATACCCCAGAGGACCAGGTGGGAAACCAGATGGTGGTCGAAGATTTAACAGTCCATTTGCCACAATGAACACCACCAGCAGAATCAATACATTTACTGGACTGGTGAAAATACCAAGAAACCATGACAATATTTCGAAAATCATACTCGGAATCACTTGATTCTGTAAAAGAAATAAACGTGTTTGTAAATCAAGAAGACAAAAAAAT